CTGGCAGCACATGGTGGGGTCTGGATTTGGGGATGGGGAAGGCCTGACCTGCCCCCTGTGTGGCCTTATTGTGAGTTTCTTTCCCTTGACTTTGGGCAAGTCTCTGGATCGCATTTTCTTGGCAAGTATATTTTGATTTTCTCTATTTGTCTAGACATTATGTGTGCTAGGTATTAAAAATACTTGGAGAGACAAGGTACAGACTTGTTAGAGAGGTGTTCACTGTGTTAGTGGGGGAGGTAAGCACTGGAATAGGGTGATGAATGGCTAATAGAGGAATGCATAGGGCACAGTGGGATCTTAAGAGAACAATGGGTTGACATAGTCGATGAGTGTTAAGGAAGGCTACAGAGGAGGTGACACTTCTTGAGCATCTTGGAGATCATGTAAGGGATTCAGCAGGTAAAAAACAGAGGGGAGAATTAAGAAGATGTGGTACGTATACACAATGGAATATTACTCAGCAATCAAAAAGATAAGCTCATGCCTTTTGCAGCAACATGGATGGAGCCAGAAAGAATAAGAAAAATACCAGATGGTTTCTGTCATAGCAGGTTCACAAAGGACCGGGGGGGAAATAATAATGAACAACTATATACCGGAGACATTTTACGGGGGTGGAGGGGGAATGGGATCAAAAATGGGCAGGTGGGGAGGGGAGTGCATGGGACTATGGTGATGGCACACGGGTAAATTGGTGATGGGAAGCCCACGGGGTTACTACTGAGATGGAAAAAGACACAAAAATGATGTAAAAATAAGCTATTATAATTAAAAAACAAAAAACAGTGGGAAGGCTAAGCTTTAGTTCACTTTATAGTTTTGTTGTAATTTTCTTCTCACCCTTTAAATCCTCCTCTGCATCCTATTTGCTTCTCTTGTTTCTCAGATGCTTTCCCTAAAGCCCTACAAAGAAAAGGACATTGGTGTAAGTGCCCTAAAGCTACTTCATGCCCTGCATCCTATCACCTCGCTGCACCCCATTATCAACTCAGATGTGGGCCAGCTGTGGAAGCAAGAGATCCCTAAGATGGTGGAGTTCCTGGATGGTGAGGGGTTGGTTGGGAGGGCGCAGCAAGGGACATGTGGCAGCAGGGCGGACTCCAGAGGAGACTGAGTCCCGGCCAGAGGAGGGACCAGCGTCCCTGCCCCTCTGGGAGGCCGTTTTGATGGGTCAGCTTATGGGGACCATGCCGGCAATGAGCAGATCCTCCATTCAGAGTTCTGGGGCGCCAGAGCCCCCAGATCAACCCTGCCCCTTCTATGTGGGTGGAGGATCAGGGGAGAGGAACCAGACGACCCAGGTTTGTATCCTTGCTTTGACGCTGACCAACTGTGTGCTGGTCCTTGGGAAGTGACCCATCTCCTGGCACACCTGTGAAGCGAGGGGCAGTTACCTTGTAGGGTCACTGTTACCTTGGAGAATGAAAGGAGCTGACGGGCACACAGCCCCTGCTGTGGTGTTCAGGTGTTGGTTCTTTCTCCTCCTGGTCGGTGGGTCTCCATGCTCTCCCCTTTTCTAGACCACAATGAGAAGACCCTGATTCAGGAGAAGTGGGAGAAGTGGCTGCTCAAGGTGAGCACCCTCCACACTTGCCCTCTTTCCTTGCTCCAAGATGCTCCAGAACTCCCGGAGACGGAGGCCATGATCCTTTCCTGCTCAAGAGCTATTCTGCTCGTGGGAGCATCTTTCTGAGGCCCCCTGGCCTCCTGGTCCTGAGTCAAAGTCTTTGATTATATTCTAAGCCCCCCTCCTACTCTGAAGGCCCTACCTGAGGGGGTTTGTGTGAAGGGGGATTGTGTCTTCGGACAAGCTATCTAGCCTTTGTAGGCCTCAGCTTCTTCATCTGTAAAATGGGAATGCCTCCCGTATTGCTGAGATTTAGGGGAGTGTGGGGAAGAGCTGACCCATCTCTCATTCTCTAGTCCTAACGAACCCCCTCCGGGTGTGTCAGCGCCTACCCGCTTCTGAGCTCTTTTCCATGTTTACAGACCATGCCCCCTGTCTCTGGCTTCTTTTTGACCCCACTCCCATGGGGCAGAAAAGCCACTGTTTTTCGTGGTCCTCTTCTCCCTTCCTCTCAGTTTTCAAGTAGATCACTGGTGGCCATGAATGATGACAAGTGGCTGAAGTACCTCATCAGCGTCATCTTGAAGAGGATTAATTATTTCAGCGAGGCTCACGAGAAGGTGTGGTTGTGTATGTGTGTGTGGTCTCAAGAGGGGGTGGTTGAGGGTGGAGGAGCCTGGGGGGGATGGCTATGGACATGCACAGGCCATGCAGGCCTCGCACAGGGGTGAGCCAGAGTTCTTGGGCTCTGGGATGTGAGGGGGAAGGAACTGGTGGTCACCCAGGAACAGCACAGATACCCAACATCTGCTCATTGTTTTAGGTTCCGTGCAGGACTTTGCTGTCTGTTGTTATTATAGAAACTCTTCCGTAACAGCAAAGCTGTGCTGGGTGCAGAGGGAAGATTAGTGAACTTAGAGTCACATTTAACAAGTAGATTCAAGGACCCTTTGAGGGCGCCTGCTTGGTACTGGAGACACACAGCTGAGCAAGACAGTCCAGGCTGGTTTCCTCCAGCCTCAGGCCTGCAGTGGGCTCCGCCCTGGAGTCTTTGTGCCCTCTGGGGTCATGTGGGCCCAGCGTCTTGGTCCACAGGAGATTGCAGTCACCTCTTTTGGGAAGTGGCAAAAATGACCTCTAGGTGACGGGAGACTGGTGAGGCCCCAACAAGGGTTCTGTGCAAGTGCAGGCTAAACAAAATGGTCCTGTAGTTGTCCCACCTCACAGGCAGAGAAGCAGCTTGCTTAGGAAGTGTCCTAAGCAAATTAAAACTGGGACCTGAACACTCCTTTCTTGATTCTAGTCTGTTTTCCTGCCACTGAGCAACAGTTGCTGGATGCTTTGGGCGGTGAGGGCGGTTGTCTCCAGGAAACAGGTCTCACTTCCAAGACCGGTTATGGAAATGGAATCCCAGTGATAGGTGGTGGGGTGGGGACCTGCCCTGGAGTTGGGGAACAGCTTGTCCCGTGGGGCTGGACAGAGAGGTTTTGTCAGAGGTAACCCACCGGTGAGCTTGGCTTTAGCAGCGAACATTCAGCGTCCTGGGCAAACTGGGAAGGTAGGTCATGCGGCAGAGGTGTGAGCGCATCAGCAAGGTGTGGCCTTGCATGGGCTGGAGAAGCTGGTGCCTTAGAGCAGATAGCTGAGTCCGAGGTCAGGGGTCTTGTCAAGGAATTAGCAAGGCGGGGCGCGCTCTGGAGAAGCCAAGATAGAGCAGAGCCAGGAAGGAAGCCGACTGAGGGAGGGAAGAGGTCAAGCAAGAGGCCTGTTCCATCTGGGCCCACTGCACTGCAGAGCTCACTCCCTGTGAAGACGAGTGTATGTGTGAGGGGCTTTCATGCCCACGCCCCGCCAGCCACCTGTCTGCCTCTCTGGCTCCAGACTTCCAGGGCTGGTGTGGAGCGGGGAGGGAAGCCAGAGGAGGTAACTCCAGAAAGGAGACCTCAGAGAAGCCAGTGTGGAGGGTTCCTATGAGCTGGCATCTCACCTGCTAGAGGGGCAAAGGTGCCCATGGGGAGGGGCTTTTCAGAGGTGAATGGAAACCAGGTGAGACTGTCAAGGAACAGCTGGTGTATCCTGTTTGCTTCCCTCCTGTGCCAGGCACTGTCAGCAGAGTCTGATCTCCTTGGAGATGCGAGGTTGGGCGAGCAGGAGCTGAGCTGGCCAGACATGTACATATGGGCAGTGCATGGAGATGAGGCTGACGGAAAGAAATAGGAAGGTGTGCTGGAGAGGCTCTTAGGAGGTCAGGGAAGGCTCGCGAGCCAGGATCTCAAAGAAGAGACTATGGAGCTAAGACGTTTTACAGAGTCAGGGCATCATTGTTCCCAACAGACAATGCAGGAAATGCAGACATCCTGAGGTAGGAGAGTACAGAAATGTGGGTGTTTCAAGGTAGACAGGGCCATGCTTAGTAAGCAAGAATAAAGGCCAATGAAATTCAGAGGCAGGAGAGACCAAGATTATATAAAAGTACTTTTTCAATTATGCAATCTTGATTTGAACATTTTGCAAATTTTTAGACCTGTTTTTAATTCGTAGCTGGAAGTGAGAAGTTTGTGGGTCAGGAAAAGTTCCGAGAGGGTGATCCCTGCCCTGAGAAGCCTAGAAATTAGAAACCAGCCTCTGTGTCACTGTTGTGGGATGAAAGCCTTAGCTTGCTGTCCCCAGAGAGCAAGCAGTGTGTGTGTGTGTGTGTGGGGGGGAGTTCTGGGCAGGGGTGTACATTTCTGCAGCTAGCCTGAGAATGGCTGTTCCCCAGCCACACTCCAGCCTACACAAGCCCCAAGCCCCTCTCTCCCACCTTCCCACCTCTCCTAGACTTTCCTATATAAATTCTTCGGCTTCTCCCTGTGGACCTCAACTGACAAGAAACTGGTGCAAATCATGCTCTCCTCCTTGCTCCAGACTACTCACGAGGACCTGGAGGAGCGGGAGGTGAGATGGAGGGCCCCAGTAAAGGACGTGAAGAAGAGGTCATCGCTATTGAAGTCCGGTCATTTATACCCTTGCTAGGGTCTTGGACAGCGGAGGGTGGGGAACACTTTAGTTTTCAGAGCGGGGGAGGCAAGGTAGCTGGAAGTCTGGGCCTGGCGACAGGGGCTGGGAATCACCTTCGCTCCTTGTGTTTCCAAGTCTCAGGTTTCCTTCTCTAAAAGGAGCCTACGATCACTCCCTTCTAGGGCAGTTTCTAACATTTTAATAACTTCACACTTACCGAAAAGTTACAAACACCCAAGAATACCTTAGAGTATTCTTTCCCCAGGTTCCCCAAATGTTAACCTTTTCCTATTCTCTCTCTCTCTCGTTTTGTGAAAATTTCATGATTTTCATTTACCACTAAATCGTTCTCGCGGAGCAATAACAATGATCCAAATGAGGAAATGAATGTCGCTGTAGTGCTCTTTCCTTGCTTAGCCGCATTTGAAGGTTTTCAGTCATGCTCTTCAGCAAAAGAAAGTTTTTGTTCTGTGTTCTGGGATCTGGTCCGGAACCACACGGTGTTTGCCAGTCAGTTCAGTCCTTACTCTCCTTTGACCTGGCGCCTTTATCTGTTTCAGCCTTTATCTTTCCAGAACGTGACCTTTTTTGCTTTCCAGACCACTTACTGTGTGGAATGCCCCTCATATTTGGGCCGTCTCATATTTCCTCAGGACTCGTGCTTGGGGCGGGCAGGAGCCCCACAGAAGTCTGTGTGTCGGGCGGGAGTTCTGTGTGATGACACTGAGGCCTGCGACACGATGCCCACCCGGAGTCCTTCCTGGTGCCAGCGCTCAGGCCCCAGCCCCTGCTGCCCCTCCCCGCCAGATTCTCAGAGCATCCGTCACCCTGACGGCCTGCTCCCAGGCTGCCAACCGTCCCCCTGGGGAGGCCAGGCCAGGGGGAGAAAGCAGCTGACACTTCCTAGAGCTGTGCTTGCTCTGAGGCACACACTGGGTGCCTGGGCTGGGGGCTGGTGCGGGCACAGGCACGAAGCCCCTCTCCCCTCTGACGTCACATTCCAAGCCGAGACTCAGGAGCAAGAACTTTAGGGGTGTGTCGAAAAACAGGGAGGGGTCTGCTTGGACTGGAACACAGAGCGCCTTACAGGGAAGGATACGCGAGCTTCTGTCAGTGCCGGGGATGCCCTGGACACGGGGCAAGATGAGAGGCAGCGAGGTGTCCAGGGTGGTTCTCCGGCCTCTGGCCGGTGGCAGGGTAATGGTAGACCAGAAGCTCGGGACAATGGGGGGAGAGAGATGGCGTGTTCATAGTTTTTGACCAGAAAGGGTGGGGCACACCTGATCGCCAGGTGGAAACGTGTGGTAGCCAGAAAAATCGGGGCTCAGAGCTGGCTGGGTGCCCAGATCTGGAAGCCATTGGATTTACTCTGCCTGTACCATGAGAGGGATGATGACAGCTCACAGTGCTAGTGCGAGGATCAAAGAGAAAATGTTTAAGGGTGGTGTTAGTATTCTGTGATGTGACTGATAGTGGGGTTGGTGGTGGCGGTGACGGTGGTGGTGACGGTGGTGGTGACGGTGGTGGTGATTGATGACAGTAGTGGTGACGGTGGTGATGGTGATGGTGACGGTGGTGGTGGTGGTGACGGTGGTGGTGGTGATGGTGGTGATGAAGGGGGTTCTGGGGGAGGCTGATGAGTAGAAGCCTGTGGTTGAGGGAGGCACAAGAGAGGGACAGATCACACGCCTCTGTGATGTCCGACTAGATCTTGCCTTCTAACTGAGCAAAGTACTCCCTTCCTCACGTGGAGGCCAACATTCTAAGAGTCCCCCTAACTCCTCCTCCATTCTTGAGGGCTTGTGTCCTGGAGCCACCGCCACGTCCCCAGCTTCCCCCACTCCGCCTTCTTTTCCGCCGTCTCAGTGGCAGCTTCTCTTACACACATGAGCAGGTCAGCAAACACTGGCACTGCGTCTCTGCATTGGGCATTGCTGTAGCTCTGCGCCCCGTTATCCTTGTTAGGTAAGCTCTCAGAAGAGGCTGGGCTCACCCTCAGTCCACAGGGCTTTGCACGAGGCAGAGGGCTTTAGGTTAAAGGACTGATCCTGCTGAAAATGATGGCGTCCCCAAGTTTCCCACTAGGTCGTCAGCCCGGGCTCTCAGATGCCCCCGCCAGGGACATTTCTAGTTAGTTGTCCTGCCCTGAGCTCTGCATGACACACTCAGGATCACTCCTCTCTGCCCCCAACCCTAGACAGCTCACCTTTCCACCTGCCCTCCTTGTTCAGTTACTGCAGTTTCCTGCCCTCTAGAAACATTGGTGCTGCCTGTAGGTCTCCAGCTCTTCTCAGATTGATCGTGATAATAAGCTTCATGTTTCTTCGTTTCCTCAGTCCCCTCCTCAGAGCAACCCTTCGGGGTTCCTAATGCATATGCAAATTTTCTACCTGCAACCTGGGATTTGATAATCCCCAGATTGTGCAAATCTGATTCCTAATCTTGGCTAATTTACTTCTTACCTCTCCAAGAATGTCTGGTTCTCCACCCGGATTGTAAACAGTTCAAGCCCGGGAAATCTAATTTCCCTCCCGTTTCTTTTCTTTCCCTTTCCTCTCCTCCTTCTCTCTAAACCCCTGGGGCCAGGGAGGTGGCTGACACTTGGCCTCCGGAGCTGTGGCCCAGGGCTGAGGCTGTCCCGCTTCCAGGGCATCGCTGTGGCGGTCAGTATCGTGGCCACGAGACACATGAAGGTGGTTCTGGACCAACTGCAAGTGTACTGTACAGTACTCACGGACCAGGACTCCTCGTACATCCTCCAGATGCCGAAGGTGATGGCATTCCTGGTGGGCTCTGCCAGCCCCCACGCGAAGCCTTCTAATGCACCCCACCCCCAGCCTCCCCGTTTCTCTGAGGCCTGTGACTCACCCATAAGCCCTTCTCTTTGGCTCTGATCGGCTGTGGGAAGTTGGAGCACCCCTCCCTTTCGCTGCCCCGTGAATCCCTGCTTCAGGCTTTGCCCTTACCTCATAGTTCTGCCCTTCCAGCCGCTCCCCTCTTCGGCCTCGTCTTCCCTTTCAAGTCCTTTGGGTCATCTTTTCCCTTCTGGACATCCATTTCCTCGTCAGGTAAGTAGGATAAGGTGAAGAGAAGGCAAGTTTCCCCTTCCCCCCGCAGGAACATCAGCAGAGGGAGTGGGGGCTGGTGTGCAGGACCCTCTACTTATGCTACAGCAAGATCATCTCTGCGAGCAAGACAGTGATCTACCACCACATGGACGCCATCCTGACCTTGATCCCGCTGCACTACTACAACTGCATCGTGGAGAAGGTGCTTCTGCCTTCTCCTCCCTCCCAAGAGAAGATGGCAGGCCTGGGAGGGGCCTCGGGATGGGGTGCGGGCGGTCACTCCCTCTCCCGAGGTTCTGTCCTTCTGCGTCATGCTGCTACTCTGAGACTCAGACCGGTCTGAGGGGGAGACCACAGTCATCTCGGGTCTGTTGGAAAGTGTCCCTGTGCGCTCTGTAATGTGCCCCTGGGCTCTTCGCCAGCCCTCTTGGGCCAGGGGATGAGTAGTACCTGAACTGCCTAACGTGCTAGAGGAGGGGGCATTCGTGGGGGGAAGAGGGATCCCTGAACCTCTTCCCGGCCTCTGCGGTCTGCCCAGGGCGTGCGCCTCCCCCCACCCCCCCACACCCCGGGTCGGGAGATGCCCTTCCTACTCTGCGACCATCTGCCACCACTAGACAGCCTTTGGGAGACCTTTTGCCCTGGAAAGCTGCCCTGAGAGACCAGGACGCTAGGCCTGTTCTAACGTAGGAGTCGTGGGCGGTGGGGGCCCCTGCTACATGTAGGGATGCCCTGGACCTCCGTGTCCTGCGTTGCCCCTGGAGGGGAGAGGCAAGCTTCAGCCTTGGGCACGTTAGAGGAGGCCGAGCTCCCGCCCAGGTTCTTCCCACGGCCCCAGGTCCGTCCTGTGCAGCCCCTGAGCACGCTGGTTGGTACAGGACATGAATCTGAAGCTGGACTACCTGGACGCCCTGACCGTGCTGACAAACAACCTGAGCAGCTACCCCATGGCCTTCCAATTCGAGTTTCCCCACAAGCCAGACATTGTAGCCTTCATGGTGGTAAGCGGTGCTCAGGGGGACGTGGGAGCCAGTGCTGAGGTTGGGGGGGGGGCCGGGGAGGGGAGGAGGTGGGTGGCAGCCACATGCTCAGCCCGGAGAGTGCCAGTCCTCCTCCCACCTTAGTGCCCCCTTCCCATCCTCAAGGCTGTGTGGGTCTCCTGCAGAAGGAGAGGGCTTCCCCAGAGACTGACAGCCTGTGGGGTGTTAGGCCCCGCTTCCCATGAATATGCCAGGGGTGGGGGTTGGGGGGGAGGAGGGCCAGAAAAGTATGCTCATGGCCCTCAGGAGCTCATCAAAGAGGAGCCGATGACCGCCGTCTCCAGCTTCATCAGGCAGAAGGCCATGAACATCATCACTGACTTCGGGTACAGCGCCCCCCGTCTCAGCTCCCCGCTCCGGGCTCCTGCCCCACGCTGACTTTCAGCATAGGGGCCCCAAGCACACAGATGGGGTGGCCAATGTCCGCCACTTCCTGTGCCAAGAGTTTGGGGGTGGCATTTCCCAGGGCCTGGAAGCGAGTGCCATTCCCGTCTCCCAGTGCCTGCTGTTGCTTCCACGCAGGCGCCTGGCTGTGCCCAGCTGTCCCGGCACCCAGTCCCTTACAGCTGCCCCCCAGAGGAGACCCGGCCCCAAATACGGCCCCCTTCCCCCGGGCCTGCCCTCTCCCCTCTTCCTCGGTCATTTTGCCGCCTCTTGCTGTTTCCTCGTCCTCTTTTCCTAATCTTTTCTCCTAGACTCTTTTTCTTATATATGTGCACACACACATTTTGGATCATCATCCGTTTCGGTACAGTGTACGCTTGTAGTCCCCGTGAAATTCCCACCACCCGCTTCCGCACGAACCGTCACCGGAGTCTCTTGTGTTCTTCTCTCTCCTGTCTTGAGTCCTCTAGAGACCTTCCCGCTCTTGCAGCATGTCTCTGATTTATAGTTGTCTGCTAACTTTGTTTTTGTAATTGTTATTTTTTCCCTGATCCCTTTTTGGTTCCACCAAACTCCTCCTATGAGTGAACCCATCTGGTATTTTTCCTTTTCCTTCTGGCTTCTTTCACTGAGCACCATCCCTGCCAGCTCCATCTAGGTTGCTGCAAAAGGCATAAGTTTATCTTTTTTTTTTTTTGATTGCTGAATAGTATTCCTGGTGTATATAAATACCACATCTTCTTGACCTAGTCATTTATTTTGGGGCATTTGGGTTGTTTTTGTATCTTACTTATTGTAAAGATTTATTTTATTTATCTATGCATACAAGAACTGGAGTACGGGCCAGAGGCAGAGTGGGGAGCAGAACAGGCAGATCAACGAAGTCCACTGCTGAGGGGAGCAGCGGGCGGGTCAGGAGAGGTCTGCCGCGCCCTGTGGGCCATCTCCCTGGCGGGGATGGAACTCGTGCCACAGCATCTGGTGGTAGCCTGATGGCGCTGAGACTGTACCCCCACCACAGGGAGGCCTGTCTCTTCCTGTCTTGCTGCCACCAGCCCCTTTGTCTCCCCACCTGTCTCTCTGTGCCTTTCCTCAACTGTTACTCCTGCTCACCACCCTCTGCTTCTTACACTTCTGCTTGCCCGGGTCTTAGGATGCTCAGGCCCCTCATTGATGTGGAAGAAAAGTCAGACCTGCTTCGAATATGCTTCAAGAGTGTGCTCTGCCTGCCGCCTGTAGAGTCCTTGCAGAAGGAGGAGTCTGGCTCCCTGGAGTCCCAGTTCAATGTGGTAACTCACTCCTTGATGTGTCTCTTAGTTTTTACTTTTCATTTACAAAAGAAAGAGAAGTGGAGGTTTCATGGTTTTATATAAGGATTTTCTGCTTTCTTTAATAAAAACAAAATCCTTGGAAGGAGGCTCTCTAGTGTAGGACTGGACCTTCCGGAGGAGGTTCGCCTGCCCCTTGGGGATGCGTTTGGACGGCCCTCTGGTAAATACTCTGGCCCAACGGTGGACACTCCATCCCTGCCTTTTAGTGGCTCTCCTGTTGAGAGCCGGGGCCAGGTTCACACATGGCTCACTGACAGCCCTCTCACTGAAGGGTCAACAAGTCAGTGAGTCCCAGAGCAAGATATCTGTTGCCAACAGTGTTTTCTGGAGGGAAGGGAGAGAAATCTGATTTTCTAGCTTGCATCTCTGCGCTTGCGTCCTCGGGACTTTACATGTTCTCTGATGGCCCCTTTCTCTTGATTGCTGCTGGTGGTTTCATTGATGCCACAGCTGCTTGCCATTCTTTGTGGATATTCATAAGAATTTTTCAAAATCAAGTTTTCTACTGGTTCCTGAGTTGGTTTGGTTTTCTTTTTTTTTTTTTAATTTAATTTTTAAAAAAGATTTATTTATTTGTACATACAGAACTGGGGTACAGGTCAGAGCCTCAGGGGCAGTGAGAGGCTTCACCAGAGACAGAGTGGGGAGCAGAACAGGCAGATCGAGGAAGTACACTGCTGAGGGGAGCAGCGGACCGGTCAGGAGAGGTCTACTGCGCCATGTGGTCACCTCCGGGGCAGGCGGGGATTGAACTCATCCTGAAGTGGCTTTAGCTTCTCAGTGCTGTGCTTTAACCCGCTGCGCCACCAGGGAGGGCCAGTTTTCTTTATATCAAGCCTTCCATGGTATAGCTCTAAGCAGTGTGAGGACAGCTTTCTGACAGGTCACCGCCTATGGGAGCAGCCCGGGCATCCCAGTGTCCTGGGGAGGGTGGTCTTGCTCTGGAGGTAGGTTGACGGTGACAGTTGCCTTTCCTCTTCCTCCCTTGTCACTTTTGCTGAGCTCAGTTGGCCACAAATGTTGCTTTGCTTCCCCCAGCAGGAAGCCAGCTCCCTAGAGCCTTCTAGGCAGATCACCTACTTCCTTTACAGGTTAATATGGCCTAGGACAGGGTCACTTAGTTCACTAGAAGGCTAGAAGCACAAACCCACCCTCCTGGCGTTTGTGAATCAGCTATTCTGCTCCCTGCCAGCCAGTCCTCCGCCTTCCCTGGCACTGGCCAGCTTCAGCCTGGCTGCCACCTCGTCAGAGCCTCCGAAGACGCTTGGCTTAGGGAGAGGTGATAAGGTGCAGAGGGCGGCTGAGTCATCAGGGGACTCCTAATCCATTAGGACCAACCGTATGCCAGGCAGACATTCTTGCCTGGTGAAAACCACAGAGGAGTCATTCAGGGTCATAGTGGAGAAGTGGCACGTGAAATGTACGGGAACGTCTGGGGCAGGGTTGCTCAAGGAAGGCGGGGAGAGAGGGCATGCGGAGCAGAGCTGTGAGCGTGGTGGGACTGAGCACCTGCCGGTCTTTTGAGTCCCTCTCTCCCCTCAGAATATGTTCAAGGAGACCCTGCAAGCGCTCCGAAAGATGATGGAGGCGCTGATTATCGAGATGCCCACGCGGACCCAGCACTGCCTGGAGGTTAGTGGTGGGTCCTGTGGCTTTGGATCGTGGCATTTTGGCCCCAGACTTTACTGGTGGTGAGACTGCCGTGCCTTGTGTTTCAAATAGGCATCATCTCCAATTTTATTTCTCAAGTTGGTTGATAGACAATTCACCCTGGATTCTGTGGCAACAGTTTCTGCCTTGTTATCACCAACTTCTTTTTTACAGAAAAATGGGAAGAGAAGGGAGGGGGAGCCCTGGGCTCTATTGGCCCCTGGGAACAAGTAGGTCAGTAGAACTCGAGAACCACTGCTGTAGAGCTGCAAGGAGACGCCGAGGTTCCTAGCACGCACAGAAAGGCAAGATTGGGAGCTGGAGGAGTGAAGCTTTCTGGTGTCACATAGACTCTGCCTCTGGGGAAAAGAATTCCTGTTCCCAGAAGTCTTGGCCTGGTACTTTGCACAAGGCTCAAGGTTACCTTCTTAGGCCCAGGGCTACAGCTGCAGAGACCCCTCCTTTCGACTCTCCTTCCTCTAGCTTCTGGACACGTGGATGAATTCCCAGAGGGACCACGAGCGGGAGCGGGCCATGTGGTGCACAGCCTGTATTCTTGGCTACATTGCAAAACTGAAGGACTTTGATGTAAGGGAATCTGCCTGGTCACCCTTCTTCCTGCCGCCCCCAAAGTCATCATTACCTACGTAGTCCCTAGCTCTGCCCTCTGTTTTCACTTGTGCCTCTTTTTTTTTTTTTTAAGATTTCTTTATTTGTGCATACAGAACTGGGGGACAGTCCAGAGGTGCAGAGGCAGTGAGAGGCTTCACCAGAGACAGAGTGGGGAGCAGAACAGGTTGATCTACTGAAATACATTGCTGAGGGGAGCAGTGGATGGGTCAGGAGAGGTCTGCCGCGCCATGTGGGTCACCCTGGGGGCTGGGGGTTGAATGCAGGCTGTCTCATGGGGGGCCATCACTGAACCCCTAAGCTGTGGCCTTTCTACCACTTGTGGCCTCTGCACCTGTGCTGTGACCGCTCTGTGCACCTGTGTGGGAAAGAACTGGACAAGGCTCTCCCACGTGACTGCCTTGAGACAGTGGCGCAAACCACGAGGCAGCCGGGGACGCTAGGTAGCCGTTGACTGATTGCGTGGCCGTGGTCTGGGAGTAGCTCAGAAATGACACCAAATGTCTACGTGGCCGACACATCCCTCTTGCTCCCTCCTGATCACCCTTTGTCTCCCTGGGCCCTGCTCCCCTGCCATCGTCACATAATCATTTATGCTTGTCGACTGCTGCTAATAAATCTGCTCTCAGTGAGCAGAGTCTTACCTTGCAAACCTGCTCACAGCTCGTCGCTCAGCATGTCTCTGGGGACGTGCTGGCATGTTCCTGACTCAACGTTAAGCCACCAGGGAAGACTCCTTTTTCCTTTGACATCCTCTGTTTAGTCTTTTTCTCCATCCCCCAGTTTAATTCCATCCCCTAAGTTCAGATTGATTCTGTTTGTCTCAGCAAGTAGGTATTGGATATTTCCCTTGTGCCAGACCTCATGTCAGATGTTACAGAGGATAATAGGGGACATCACGGATACATACATAGATGACCATGACAGCTCCCTGTCTTCAAAGATCTTAGAGTCCATTGAGGAGAGGGGCATGCATAGAACAGACTTAAAAAAGTGATCATGAATTACCAACCAAATGTAGTGGGAATACAGGGTCAAAACACAAACGCTGGGCCTCCCTGGCAGTGCAGGGGTTAAAGACAGCGCTATCAAGCTATCTCTGGCCAGCCAGGGAGCTGACCCACCTGGCGAAGCAGACCTCTCCTGTCCCACCCACTGGTCCCCTCAGCAGTGTATTTCAGTAGACCTGCCTGTTCTGCTCCCCACTCTGTCTCTGGTGAATCCTCTCACCCCACACTTCTGGCCTGTACCCCAGCTCTTGTCTGCATAAATAAATATGCTTTAAAAAACCCACAAATGCTATCAAGGGAGGGAGTTAGAGAAAGCTTCCTGGAAGAGGAGACGTTTGAACTAAGCTTGAAGGAGGAGTGAAATGTCAGGACACAGAAGGGGATTAGTGTAAGAACTTTCCAGAACTGTGATACTAAATGCCCTTTGCAGTCACAGCTTAGCTGCCCAGTTCCGGTTTCTCTCATCGGTCTCACTCCAAGTATCTCTGGCACACACATTCCTTCCTCCTGATAATTTTCATGTCACAACTCAGCTCAGGTGCTAACTTGTGACTTTGAACTCTCCCCAGAAGAAAATTGAGTTCTCCCGACTGGGACGCCTGGTGCGGCTGCTGGCCATGCGCTGCCAAGACCCCGTGGAAAACATCTGCTTCCTGTCTGCCCAGGCTGTCTACAACCTCTACTGTATCCTCTTGCGGCAAAAGCGTATGGAGAGCTTCCTCGTCACCCCACCCCCCAGTTCGGGCCTCTCAGCTCTGGCCCAGCCAGGCCCCCACATGCTGGTCCAGAAGAGCGAGAGACAAGAAATGACCCAACTACATCACTCCCACTGTGGAACCTGCCCCCAGACATCCACAGATACCCGCTTGCGACAAGACCCCTGTCCGGGAAACAGTGCCTTAGAATTCCTTCCTCCTCCCTGCTGAGAGTAATAGTCTGACGGGGGCCTCTCTCTGAGACAGGTTCCTCTGCCCTGAGCACCCACCACTCCCAGCAGCCCCTCCCCGAGCCCCCTCTGCTGACCCGCCAGGCTGGCTTAGTGCAGGTGGTGATGGGCTAGGCCAGGTCCCCCTCAGAGAGCAAAGGGGAACCTAAGGAGCTGAGTGAGGGTCCCTTAGGTTAGACACAGTGTCTGAGGAGCGGGGCTGGGTGTCTTCGTTTCAGACTTGGGAAGGAAGAAGGAGGGCTTGTGGGAAGAAGAGGGCAAGAGTGGCATCTACAGTGCCAACGTGTTCTTCAACAGCACCTTTGAGATTGCCAAGGTGCGGGAGCAGGCCGGGCCCAGCGGGAGAGCGGGCCTCTGGTCCCCAAGGCTGTAGACTCCTGGGGTGGGGCTCTCTTTCCGCCCTGGGTTCCCATTCCATTACTCGATGTGAGCTTCAAATGTCCCTGCCATGTGCTGCCCCTGGGGGGCAGGGTTCCCGTCCTCCGGCTACCAGTCTCACCAGAAGCATGGCTTCCGCTAGGCTTCCGCCAGTGACGCTGTGGGGCCAGTGTGCACCAGCCCCAAAAGATGGTAGTTGGGCTCTTAGTCCTCGCCCTCCTGGCCCAGGGCTCTGCCTCTGTAGCCTCTGACCTCTGAGCCCTCCATTGCAGCTGGGGCCAGTGTTACCCCTCCTGTCCCTAGGCTCTCCTGAAAGTGCCCTTTGGACAGGCTGAGGACAGAAGTTTCTTGTGCTCCGAGAGACGCTCCCTCCCCCTCCTCTGTCCTAGCCAGGAAGGTGGGTGGGCTCATTCGGCCTGGTCGGACCCCACCCTGTTGCAGGCATTTGCAGAGTACTTCACCAAGGCCCAGGTCACCAATCTGGTGCTGACGGCCCTAGAGGGCCTGACCGACAGCAGGGCCAAGGTGTCTCTGGCTGTGGCCCAGCTGATGAGCGCGGTCCTGAAAGAGCGGGGCAAAGACGTGATGAAGGTGTGTACAGATGCCCAGATCTGCCCTGCAGGTGGCGAACCTGAGCGCTCCCCACTCCCCAGGGGGCCTCTAATCCCTGAGGCCTTAACCCACACCCCTCTAAGGTGCTGGATTGTGCCAGGGTTTCTCTGTCGTCCCACCAGTGTCCGTGACCCTGAGCTCATAGTGTACAGCTCCTCTTTGAGGGGTGAGGGCCCTGATCTGGGGCTGAGGCAGCCGGAGGGCTGGTGGCCAGAGGCACGTTGGGAGAACCTGCTTGGGGAAGGGGGGGGGGGGGAAGCGTAGACCTCCCTGAGGGGTAAGGATTGCAAAGAGAGAGCTTGTAGGTGAACACTGATCCTTTAATACGTTTTCTTTCGTGCTAGCATAGACACAGGAAAGTTTGCATAAAAATCCACATGTTTCATTTCACAAAATGACAACAAACAAACCTTGGAAAGGGAGTCCCGGGGGCTTGGAAAGCAGGGGACCCTGCTTTCTTTGACACCTGACACCCAGGGTCTTTACTCAATTACATGCTTTGTCTGGCCTCAATACCAAAAGTGTAAGGAAGCTTCTGAGCGTGTCCTGGATATGTTAAGTGAAAGGGGCCCCCAAGCCTCCCATGTCAGCAGTGGGAGAAGAGAGGAGAGCCCCCTGTCTGCACGCCCAGAGCCCGGGTCCCCCAGTCCCGCGGGTGGCAGCTGCCTCGTCTCCCAGGTTTCCACATCTCTCCTCCTCTTGAGTCACCTGGGAACCCCTCCCTGGAGTTTGCTCTGCGGACAGGCAGAGTAGGTGGCTGACGTGGGCACCAGCACCTGGGGTTCCTTTTGTGGCCCCTGTTGATCTCCTGTCTGGCACCCCAGGTACCTTAGAGTAACTGGTGAGATGACAATGAAGTTCCTTGAATTTGGGGAGTTGCGGATGGGAAGGAGGGTTGGAAGCTAAGAAAGCACTCCTGAAGTGTGGAACCCCCTGCCCCCTTGTTTTGGGGCTCTTGTCTCGGTGCCCAGAGCTCCTGCTGGTCAGGCTACAGGGCAGGCAGGCAGGCCTGGTGCGCTCTGCCCGGGGCGAGAGTCCTGTCTGAGGCGCGTACTGGGGAGCCATTCCCTGCTGAACACAGCAAGTTGGCTTCACGGCCAGATGGCAAGATCAGCTAGAAAACCTTACTTGTAAGGATTAGCAGAAAAGTTGGTGAGAATAGGGGCTACAGACAGTGTGGCTTGATTAGCGGGACAATGGAGGCCCCAAGCCACAGCCCCTGTCACTCCACCCGTGCTTGCACCAGACTGTGTCCGGACAACGCAGCCCCACTCTGAACCTGGTTTTTTTTTTTTTAAAGATTTATTTATTATTTGCATACAGAACTGGGGTACAGGCCAGAGGCTCAGGGGCGGTGAGAGGCTTCACCAGAGACAGAGCGGGGAACAGAACAGGCAGATAGAGGAAGCACACTGCTGAGGGGAGCAGCGGGCGGGTCAGGAGAGGTCTGCCGGGCCCTGTGGGTCACCTCTGGGGCAGGCGGGAATCGAACTCATGCGGAAGTGGCTTTAGCTTCTCAGTGCTGCGCTTTAACCCGCTGCGCCACCAGGGAGGGCCCTGAACCTGGTTTTAAACTAAGAGGCCACGGATGGGCCTGCACCTGTCTGCCTAGCCCCTCTAGGCCGCACGGACTTGGACTTCGAGTGACTTTCCCTCGCCCTGCACCACTCCCAATGCCGCTGCCCCTGAGGCGACTCTGAGGTTTCTGCCCTGCCCGCAGATTGAGGAAGTCATGGACGGCATCCTCAGTAGGCTCAACTCGCAGCTGGAGCCCAGCACCAAGGAGGAGACCCTGCAGGCCATGTGCTGGCTGGCCAGCAGCAACACCCTCACCGTGGTATCCATGCTGCTCAGCAAGCCCCTGCCGTGGAACAGGTCCCTCCCCGCCTGCTCCCCACCACCGCCTTGCTCCCCCTCTCCCCATGCGCCCCCTCATGCCTCCCGCCCACCTACACACGGCTGCCCACAGGTGCCTTCCCTTTGACACCCGTCAGCTGTCATCTCTGTTCTTTGGCCAAGTCCTCTTTGGCCTCCTTCCCGCCAGACCCCGAGGGCTGGCCCAAGACCACACGAGCCCCCGAGCAGGGTCCTGTCACCAGGGCCCATGATGCGGCTGTCTCTGGGTCCTGCAGAACCAACCTGAGCGTGTGGAAGGCGTTTGGCACCCTGCGGGAAAGCACCATCAGCGTCCTGCTGCTGCTCATCAGCATCCTGGAGAAGCTGCACCCCAGGGAGGAAGCCTCGGAGCTGGACGTCCAGCCGGTGGCGGTCAGCACCCGCGAGGAGTGGGGGCCGGGCCACGTGCCGCCGGGCTGGGAGCAGAGCTGCACCATCAGAGGGCCCTGGGAGGGCAGGAGCAGCGGCAGGGAGAAGTCAAGGGGGCTCTGACTGGGCCTCTGTAAGCACTTTCGCTCCCCCTCGGTGTGTCCGAGAGCTGAAAGCTGCAGAGGGCGGGCTCACCCCGACTTCAGAGGCCGGAGAACTGACCTCAGGCCGAGTGCTGCAGCAGGCACTGGCGCTCATTTTTCTAGGGCTCGGGGTGTCAGGTGGGGGCGTTGGAGGGGTTTGGGTGGCCAGAATTAGGGATGCACAGGAAGGTACCCCAAACCATCATCTGCTGAAAATTTAGGGTTAGTTCTCTTTTTGTCTTTAACGTTAGGGGTGCAGAGAGAGCACAGGTGATGCATAGATACGGACCCTCATTTTCAGTCGTGGGTGCTGCTTGGAGCCTGAGTCCAGTGGCTGTGCCCCTTGGGCAGTGATTGCAAGGGCAGGGTGGAGCTCTGTGCCGGTCCTGGGGCCGCTTTTTATGTTTCACCCCCATCTGGTCAATTCTGTTTTCTCACTTTCACTGTACCCCGCCCCCAGGTGGCATGCGCCTTGTGTGAGATGCTCTCGGGGTCCCTGTGCCAGGAGGCGATCCGGGAACTCTACCCCCGGCTGTTGCTGGCTGTGCTGTACCATTTGCACTGGGTGATTGAACAAGATACTCCCCAGAAGATGGTGGTGTACGCAAAGGAGGGGTACCTGGGCAGTAAGAACAAGGCCTACGACCCCACCAGGTAGGCCTGACCCCAGAGCGAGGGGAGAGTGAAGCAGGTCAATTCCAGAGAGCCCTGGACGACTGCATGCTGATCTCTGAGGGGCGCTGATGAGGAAGAGTGGAGGGGGGACGTGGCTGGGGTGTTGGGGGCAATGTGGCTGGGGTGTGGGG